TGCCTGAGCTAAAAAGTCCCTTCCTCAGGAAGGTCTTTGCTGATCTCTAGGCTAGAGTGAGCCTCAGGCTGCTGCAGTGTCCTGTTCTTCCCCCATCATCTCAGTCATGTATTCAACAAACAGCGAGTGCGATTAGGTGCCACGAACTAGTCTACATACTGGCATTACATTTTATTGTGACGACCTGTTCAATGACTATTTCGCCACTAGATTGTGAGCTCCACTGGGGAAGAACCATTTCTTTTTTTCTTTATAAGATATACATTTTTATTGATTTCAGCGAGGAAGGGAGGGAGAGAGAGATAGAAACATTAGTGATGAGAGAGAATCATTGATTGGCTGCCTCCTGGGGAGTGAGCCCGGGACCCAGGCATGTGCCCTCAGCCAGAATCGAACCTGGGACCCTTAAGTCCACAGGCTGATGCTGTATCCAGTGAGCCCAATTAGCAAGGGCAACCATTTCTTTATTATCCCTTACTCTCCCCCATGCCATGCAGAGTGCCTAGCATAAGCGACCAGGTTAGAAGACCCTTGACCTTGAGCAGGATACCTCCTCTCCCCCCATAGTCTGATATCAGTTTCTTCAGGTCTAGTGACCTCTCTTAATTTCCGCCCTGAATTCCCTGCCCAAGTCCCTGCCTTGAGCCAGAACCCATTCGGCTCTTTCCGTCCTTCAAGAGGATCCAGGTATGGATGACCTCATGAGAGGGCAGAGGTGGGGTCTGGAAGATACCGGGCAGCTGGTCATCCTTTGATCTCAAAGGCAGTGTGATCACCACCACCTCAGAGGGTCCTCCTCCTCCCCCAGTACTTTCTGCCCTGCTGGCCAGAGATGGATAAGGCTGCCCTGAAGTCAGCCAGGCTCTTTGCTGTCCCAGCCTCACAGTGCCTGTGCCCCTCCCAGAGCACACTTCCAAGAGCTAAAGAGCTTGGTCCCAGCCAGCCTGACCTCTGCAACGCCCAGCTCAGACCGCTGCCTTAGGGAAGCACTCCGCGTGAGCTTGCCAGGTCTCGGCTCTCCCACCTCCGGGAACTCATGGGGACGGCACTCTTGAACCAGGATGCCAGTTTAAGTAAACCCTCTTGCTCCTTTTCCCCCTAGGTCTTGGCCCACACCTGTCCTGCACCCCAGGCCCCTCTTACTTCCTTCTCAGGACCCTTTTCCATTCTCCTGCACCCTCTCTACGCTCCCATCGCCCATCCTCAGCCCGTGGGGCCACACCAGCCTATTTTAGTGTCTCTTTCCAAAGAGTTTCAAGCTTCCCGGTGTCTCTCACCCTGTCTGCCCCACCCATCTCCCCTTCCTTCCACACGGGGGGCCAGCTGTGTGGCAGGTGCACGGTGGACTCTCGTTGTGAGTGGGAAAGTGAAGTTGAGCAAGACACCAGTGGTCTCTGAGGTGCTGGTGGGATGCAGTATTGAGTATTGTGAGACACAGAGAAGGGATTGGTCCCTTGAGGATGGGGAGAGAGGGCTGAACAAGAATAGACTTAATGTCCTAGCTGGTTTGGCTCAGTGGATAGAGCGTCGGCCTATGGACTGAAGGGCACATACCTGGGTTGCAGGCTCCATCCCCAGAGGGTGTGCAGGAGGCAGCCAATCAATGATTCTCTCTCATTGATGTTTTTCTCTCTCTCCCCCTCTCCCTTCCTCTCTGAAATCAATAGAAATATATATATATATATATATATATATATATATATATATATATATTTAAAAAAGGAATAGATTTGCCGAAACTGGTTTGGCTCAGTGGTAGAGCGTCGGTCTGCGGACTGAAAGGTCCCAGGTTCGATTCCGGTCAAGGGCATGTACATTGGTTGTGGGCACATCCCCGGTAGGGGGTGTGGTGCAAGAGGCAGCTGGTCGATGTTTCTCTCTCATCGACGTTTCTAGCTCTCTATCCCTCTCTCCTCCTCTCTGTAAAAAATCAATAAAATATATATATATTTAAAAGAAATAGATTTACTGCTTCGGAGCTGTGACCCCTGAGCCACATGTTGAAACATGAAGCAGTTTCTCATGAGGGGAGCTAGAATTCCAAACGAAGAGCCAGGGCAGTGGGAGTGTGGCGTGTCTAGAACCCCCCACCCTTCACGTGGCTGGAGTGTGAGGTGTGCAGGAGGCAGGCGGAGGAGGTCCCAGAGGAGAGGGCTCCGGGATTGGTGCAGGAGGCTCTTGGTGTCCTGCTAATGAGCACGGGTGTTTTATCCTCAAGGCAGGGCGAGCCATCTTCTCTTTCGAGCTGGGGAATTACACAACCCCGTTTCCATTTTGGGAGGGTTTCGGTGGTTTTGGGTAGAGGCAGAGCTGTTTCCTTTTCTCGCTGCCCAGGTGGAGCCACATGGAGCAGACCGGCAGTTCCACAGGAGGCGGGCAGACAGGGGCCTTCCCCATTTACCTCACAGCTGCCTGCAGAGCATTGTGCTAGGGTCTGAGGCACATAAAAGGCGAGCTATGGCTCCTGCCTCAGGACCACACCCCCAGAGAGGTGGCAGAGCCTTGCTTGGCAGCCTAGACACCTCGCTGCAACCTGTGCTTGGAGCTGAGAGCCACCCTGAGGTGGCAGAGAACTGGGCAGAGGGTGGGATGGGGGGGTGAAAGGACTTCTTAGCGGGGCACAGGGAGACACAGAACGCTCAGGTGAGAACTGAAGGGGATGGAACTGTCCAGTGGGGGTCAGAGAGAAAGGTGGCACGGGAGGGCCACTCAGTGAGGGAGAGTTGTGTTGGGGAAAGGCTCAAGCAGGAAGAGACAACCCTGAGTGCCAGGGAAGGAAGCGTGTCATGGTAGGGGCTGTCGACGAGGGACAGACAAGGGACAGAAGGAGAAAGAATTGGGAAGCGGTTGGTCAGGAGGCATGGACTGTGATATGGGGGCTCGTAGGGGGCGAGCACTTTGTAGTGGGGGTCAGGGGAGGAAAGTAGCCCCGTAGTGGAAGGTCAGGGGAAATGGGGAGGGTGGGCTGGGAGCTTGAGGGCGGGGTCCCTGGGGTGATGGGGCTGGAAGGAGAGGTGAGTGGAGAAGGTGACCCGGAATGGTTGTGAGGATACATGGCAGTCACTGCGGAGCAGGAGGGCAGACAGAGTGTGGCTGGGGCGCCGTGAGCCCTGGCTGAGACGCAGAAGCACAAAGTGAGCTTTCTGGAACGGGCAGTGGAGATGCTACAAGGAGGCCTGGAGGAGAGGGGAGGGCACATCCCAATGTTAATTCTGCAGCTGTGCATGGAGTTCCTCTTCTGTGCCAGGACCGTGTTAGCTCTAGGAATACTGCCTTGAAGGAAAAAAAAAAAAAAAAAAAAAAAAGACAAAATCCTCACAGTATAGAACTGGCATTATTGTCATGAGGAGACAATAATAGCCCTGGTCAGTGTGGCTCAGTTAGTTCCAGAAGATGGTGGGTTCCATTCCTGGTCAGAGCACATAGCCAGGTTGTGGATTCAATCCCCTATTAGAGTGCATGGGAGAGGCAACAAATACATTTCTCACTCACATCCATCTTTGTTTTCTCTCTCTTCCTTCCTCTCTCTAAAATCAATTTTAAAAATGAAATTTTAAAAGCAACAACAATAATTAATAATAATATCTTACTGAAACTGGTTTGGCTCAGTGGATAGAGCGTCGGCCTGCTGACTGAAAGGTCCCAGGTTCAATTCCCGTTAAGGGCATGCACCTTGGTTGCGGGCACATCTCCAGTAGGGGTGTGCAAGAGGCAGCTGACTGATTGATGATTCTCTCCCGTTGATGTTTCTAGCTCTCTATCCCTCTCTTTTCCTCTCTGTAAAAAAATCAATAAAATATATTTTAAAAAAAGAATAGCTTGTTAGATGGTGTTAGGTGCTAGGGAAGATTTGGGGATTGCTGAGAGGGGGCATAGTGACCTGCAGTTTTGTTTGTGTGTGTGTGTGTGTGTGTGTGTGTTTTAAATATGTTTTTATTAATTTTTTTAGAGAGAAAGGAAGAGAGAGGGATAGAGAGAAACATAGCAGCTGCCTCCTGCATGCCACCTCCTGGAGGCTGAGCCTGCAGCCTGGGCACGTGCCCTGACCAGGAATCCAACTGTGACCTTCTGGTTCTTAGGTCAACACTCACCCCCTGAGCCTTGCCGGCTAGGCAGAGCTGCAGTTTTGGGAATATTCAGAAGGTGACATTTGGGCAAAGACCTGAAGGGCTGCAGGGTCCAGTTCAAAGGCTTCTGCTGTGACCCAGGCTTGGGTTAAAGGGGCAGGTGGAAGGAGCGGTGCCTGATGTGAGATACTTTATAGAAAGAGTCACCAAGCCGAAACCGGTTTGGCTCAGTGGATAAAGTGTCGGTCTGCGAACTGAAGGGTCCCAGGTTCGATTCCGGTCAAGGGCATGTACCTTGGTTGTGGGCACATCCCCAGTAGGGTGTGTGCAGGAGGCAGCTGATCGATGTTTCTCTCTCATCAATGTTTCTAACTCTCTATCTCTCTCTCTTCCTCTCTATAAAAAATCAATAAGATTATATTTTAAAAAAGAAAAAAAGAGTCACCAAAATACAGCATCAACTGACCAAGGAGCCATGAATTGGAGTGGAGGCCCTTCCTCTGTGACCTGCCTTCCCTGGGCCCGGCCCTGCCCTGCCCTGCCCTGCGGGCTGGGTCTGCAGCTCTTTCTTTCCTGACCTCACAGGCCCTACGGGGAGCAGCGTGGGAGCTGGTTGAGCCCAGTGGTGTATGATGATGGGAACGCACCCTGGGGAGCTCAGAGGTGGGCCTCTGGGTGGCAGTGTGGCAGGAGGAAGGGGGCAGTCAGTGTCCAGTGAACACATGAGCCAGGCCCACGCCAGCTGCGTCCCTGGCACAGGGCGCCCCAGTTGGACGAGCTGGGGGTGGGGATGCACAGAGAGCCATTGTGTGAAGGCTCTGTTGTTGGAATTGAGGGGAAGGCAGAGGTGGGCTGCTCTCCCGACCTGGAGGCTCACTGTGGTCTTCCTTTTCCCCCACACACCCACCCTGCCCTGCAGGATCTGCCAAGGCCATGTCTGTTCCATCCTCGCTGAGCCAGTCGGCCATTAACGCCAACAGCCACGGAGGCCCCGCCCTGAGCCTGCCCCTGCCCCTGCACGCGGCCCACAACCAGCTGCTCAACGCCAAGCTGCAGGGCACGGCCGTGGGACCCAAAGACCTGCGCAGCGCCATGGGGGAGGGCGGCGGGCCTGAGCCCGGCCCGGCCAATGCCAAGTGGCTCAAGGAGGGCCAGAACCAGCTTCGGCGGGCTGCCACGGCCCACCGTGACCAGAACCGAAATGTGACCTTGACCCTGGCCGAGGAGGCCGGCCAGGAGCCCGACACGGCACCCTTGGGCCCCAAAGGCCTGCTGCACCTGTACTCTGAGCTGGAGCTCTCCGCCCACAACGCGGCCAACCGGGGGCTCCGGGGACCCGACCTGATCATCAGCTCCCAAGACCAGGGGCCGGACGAGGGAGAGGAGAAGGCCGCGGGGGAAGCAGAGGAGGAGGAGGACGAGGAAGAGGACGAGGAGGAGGAGGAGGAGGAGGAGGACTTGTCTTCTCCCCCGGGGCTGCCCGAGCCCCTGGTGAGTGCGGAAGAGCCCCCTGCATCCCAGGCCCTGGCAGACGGCCCCCGAGAGCACAGCAAGAGCGCCAGCCTCCTGTTTGGCATGCGGAACAGTGCAGCCAGCGACGAGGACTCCAGCTGGGCTACCTTATCCCAGGGCAGCCCCTCCTGCGGCTCCCCGGAGGACACAGGTACCTTGTGGAGGTTAACACGGGGAATGTGGGCGGGCAGGAGGGCAGAGGGCAGGCTTCTCTCCATGCAGAGGCCCGGGCCAGCCTGGGGGTGAGTCCTCGGTCCGCGGCAGGCCACGCCCAGGCTTTCCTGAAGGAGCCATTCCCGCCTCACAGAGAGTTTGACCACGTTAACCAGTCCATCCGCCATGCACCCCTGACGGATGGACAGCGGAGCAGGTCCGTGTAAGGGGCGTTTACCGGGCGCTGGCCCCGGCTCAGCTCTGTCGTGTTTAACCTTCAGGATGCTGTGACATGGATGCTATGTTGTGCCCGTATTACAGATGGCAGAACGAGGCCTGGAGAGGTTGAGTAGTTTTCCTGAAATCCCAGGGAGGCTGAGATCACAGGAGAACTGAGGTTCTAAACCAGGTCTGAGTGCAGACCTGCACTCGGGGTGCTGTGCTAGCCTGCCATCGGGGCACACAGCACAGGGAACCAAGGCGCCTGGGCCAGACTTGGGCATGCCTGTCCACAGAGGTCCATTGTGAAAAAGGGGGAGGGTTGTGTGCAACACGCTGGGCATTGCAGTGATCCTGTTTTTTATTTATTTTATTTTATTTTATTTTATTGATTTTTTACAGAGAGGAAGGGAGAGGGATAGAGAGCCAGAAACGTCGATGAGAGAGAAACATCGACCAGCTGCCTCTTGCATACCCCCCACTGGGGACGTGCCCACAACCAATGTATATGCCCCTGACCAGAATCGAACCTGGGACCTTTCAGTCCGCAGGCCGATGCTCTACCACTGAGCCAAACCGGTTTCAGCAGCGGATCCTGTTTTGAATCCTTTGTATCTGCAATAGAATATTTGCTAAGTTAGGAAGAATAAATATATACTTTTTTGGGGGTGTGGGGGAGAGGAAGAGTAGATATTCAGACTCCAAGGATTGATCATTAAGTGTGTGTCTTGGAGGTACCGGTAAGTTGAGTCTCCACGTTGGTTGATATTAGTACGTTTGTGGAGATGCAGACAGAGCTGAGAGCGCAGGGCAGAGTGAGTGGACTGTAGCCACATGCTGGTCATGTGGAGGGTGGGGTGTAGGTAAAGATTAGGAAAGACTGTCCTGCACCAGGCAGCAGGCACCATTTTGTGCCCATATTACAGATGACAGAGTGAGAACCCAGACTCCAAACTGTGGAACCTTAGCAGGAAGCCTGTGGTTCCGATGTGCCCTTTTAAAACTCTTATTATGGACACTTGCAAACATATACAAAAGCAGAGGGAATAGAATAACAAACCTGATTTACCTAGGACCCAGCTTCAACAATTATCAACACCTGCCTAGTCTGGCCACATCTGTAGCCCCACCTACTCCTGGGCCGCAGCCTAGGTTGTTTTGAAGTAAACATTTCATCCATAAATGTTTGCCCATCCATTGTTTTAAGTTTTATCTTCACTCCATATTTTTTTCATTGATTTTTAGAGAGAGTAGAAGGGAGGAAGGAGGTGATGGGGCGGGGAGCGCAGGCAGGGAGAGAGAGAAACATCAATTGGCTGCCTCCTGCACTGGACCATGGATTGAACCAGCAACTGAGATATATGCCCTGGATCGGGAACCGAACATGTCCTATGCCTGAAGCTCTAACCACTGAGAAACCGGCCAGGGCAGTACATACATTTCTAAGAGATGTAATTCTTTTATTTATTTTAAAAGTATATTTTTATTCATTTCAGAGAGGAAGGGAGAGATAAAAACATCATTGTTAAGAAAGAATCATTGACCGAAACCGGTTTGGCTCAGTGGATAGGGCGTAGGCCTGCGGACTGAAGGGTCCTAGGTTCGATTCCGGTCAAGGGCATGTACCTTGGTTGTGGGCACATTCCCAGTAGGAGGTGTGCAAGAGGCAACATTCTCATCGATGTTTCTAACTCTCTATCCCTCTCTTTCTTTCTGTAGAAAATCAATAAGATATATTGAAAAGAGAGAGAGAGAGAGAGAGAGAGAGAGAGAGAATATGATTGATCGGCTGCCTTCTGCATGCCCCATACTGGGCATTGAGCCTCCAACCTGGGTATTTGCCCTGACCGGGATTCAAACCGTGACCTCCTGGTTCACAGGTTGACGCTCAATCCCTGAGCCATGCCGGCCGTGTGAGATAAAACTCTTTTTAAAAACTCACAATACCATCATCAAGTCTACAAAAATGTAGCAACCATCGCTTAATAGCATCAAATATTCAGTCAATGTTTACATTTCCCCAGTTGTCTAATAAATGTCCTCCCTGCCTTTTAAAACACTTATTGTTTGAATCAACATCCAAGTATTGATATTGACCTTTGGATGGCTGATGTGCCTCTCAGTTTCCTTTGATCTGTATATGGTCCCTCCACCGCTCTGTCTTCGTTTTGCCTGTCGTTTTCTTATGGAAGCCGCGGAGGTGTCGTTTTCTTATGGAAGCCCTGGTGTTTGCAGGGTCGGCCTCGCACATCCTCTCTGTGGTGGTGCTGAACTTGTCCCCTTCCCCCGAGGCGCCAGGAATTGGCAGTGAGTTCCGAGCCGGGCTCAGACTCGGATGTGAGTGTTTCCGCAGGAACACTTTATAGGTGCCACGGAGCCCTCCTTTACCAAAGGCCGCGTCCGATGGCCTCTCTCCTCTGCGGCGTTGTGGCCTTTGATGGCCATGGCTCGGACCCCTTTAAAGGGAGCAGCTGCGCTTCCAGTCCAGCTCGTTGTTTGTAGGGAAAATGTAGCCGCAAGGGAGCCATTTCAAGGGAAACGGAAAACTGGACATTGTTGTGAACTATCTCAGTTTCTAAATGTTAGCAGTCAATTCTGTTTTCTCAAAAAACACCTTACGGGCCACACAAAATCGCTCTGCGGCTTGCACCCATCTGCAGGTTGCTGGTTTGCTACTTCTGCCCCAAGGGTGGGAGTCAGGCCAAGTAATTGGAGAGGGCTCGGTTGCTGAGGGCTTCTGGGATGGTCACTGTGATAGCCGCACCTGGGAGCAGGAGGATAGAACTGCTGGACACCTGGGAAGGGAATGTAGGCATGGGCAGTGACCTTAGCGAGGGCATTGGCGAGGCAAGAGGAAGGGCAAGGATCACACTCGGTGCAGGCTGTGGAAATTGAGGGTAGCCATGTGGGGCCAGCCCAGGGAAGGGCATACAGTTTGTGAGTGTGTTGCTATAAACATGAAAGCCACAGACATTTCTAGATTCCTGTAGGAATGGGCTAGAATTGAGCAAAAATTATTTCTCCTTCCCACGTTAGCATCTCCACAAAGTTGTTGATTGATTGCATAAGTGAATGAATGAATGATGAACGAATGAATGGACTCGACTGTCTGCGTGGGGTGCATACCCTGTGCCAGGCCTTGTCCTGAAGGCTGGAAATGCAGCCTGCAGGGGACAGGTATTCCTGCCCTCATACACTCCCAGTCTAGCGGGGAGACAGAAGTACAAAGCCAGAATCAGCACCATGCTCTGTGATGGGCAGTGCAGAAAAGGCATTTAACCCTGCCAGTGTGTGGGTTTGGGGTTTGGGATGGGGTGGGGTGGGTTAGTTTTGAAAAGTGACCTTTACACTGATGCCTGAGGGAGAGGTTGGTAATAGCCAGGTGAGGATAGAAGGGAGGGAGGCTGGGCTGGAGAAGATGGGTGGGCATGCCCCAAGCAGGGAGAGAAAGAGAGAGAGGGGAGGGTTAGGGATGGTCAGAGATAAGGCTGAGAGGCAGTGGTTAGGGCCTCCTGACAACACACAAACCTTGGGGGATGGGAGGGGAAAGGATTTGGATTCCATCTTGAGGGCCAGGAGAGGACAATAAAGAGTCATTTCATCAGCTGAGATTTCAGAGCAGTCATTCGGGCTCAGACTAGAGGGAGGCACCGCTGTTGCAATGATCCAGGTAAGAAATAGGAGTCATGATAGTCGAAATAGGTGGTGACCGGGAGGTAGGTAGCGGTGGAGGAGATGTGCCAGGCTCCAGAAGGGCCTCGCAGATGGTCAGGGCAGGAGAGCGGCCCCTCCAGATCAGATCGGAAGGAAGAAGCTCTCTGAAGGTGCAGACGGTCAGGGACGGCAGATGGATTGGTGTGTGTGGCTCCGTCAGAAGATGGAGAATTCGCGCCTCCCCCCCCCCCCCCCCCCAATTCGAGATGGCTTTCATAAAGACGTGTGTGGCTTTGGAGGGCTTGGCGGCCCTTCACGCTGATGTTCTTGGAAGGTTTGGCCTTTCAGCCCGGAAGGCGATGGGAGGTCTCTGTGGAAGAGCAGGCATTTTCATTCCCTAGGGCCTGAGGGTGGGGATTGGGAAGTGGAGAGAGAGGGAGGTGGTTATGGCTGCCTGGAAGGCTGGATGGGCAGCAGGAGCCCCTCCTCCCGGGCCCGCCCCATTTGGAAGGTCTGGGTGGTGAGGCACCTGTCCAGATAGCTCTCACCTCAGGTGTGCAGCCACTGCGGTGTAGCCACGCCCACTCCCAGCCCCCGGGGCCTGGCTGCTCAGCAGCCTGGGTCTCGGGACCGACTGCCTGTCCCTCGGTGCTGCCTGTTGGACCAGTCAGGATTCCTGGTCTCCCTGGTAACGCGGAGCACGTCAGCAGACTGGGCGCTCCCAGCCGGTCCTGGTGCTGCGGTTGCCGAGGAGACGCTGCAGCCTGGCTGGGCCCTGGCAGGTGAGGGGGGTTGGTACTGGGAAAGCCCCGAGCCCAGTAGCCTCAAGCTTACTGGAACCCATGCCCTCAAGGCCCACTCTCAGACGCAGACTGTTGGGCAGGCTCTGGGGAGGAAGGCATCCCCGGGAGCCTTGAAGCCACACCCTGATGGTGCCGAGCTCCCGGGCTTGCAGGGCTCCAGGGGGCTGGGGGATTCCCGAGGGGCTGAGCCTCCTCGCGTCCCTGAGACGGGGCATGACGGTGGCGCTGATGTGATCGCTGTGGGATGATGGGGCGGGATGGAGATTTGGGATTGGGGGAGGGGAGCCAGGATTGGAAAGAAAAGATGTGAGAAGAAGGACTGCTGGGGTCTCCTGAGCACCCTCCCTTCCCACCCCAAAGGGGTCCCCGCCCCTGGTGGTCCTGGCCCATCCTGAGTGAGCTCCAGGCGGAGGAGGATGGTGCCTGGCAAGCACTCTGCCCTGGTGAGAAGGGGGCGGGATGAGCTTTTCTCTGCAGCCCAGCACCAGGCTGTGAGCCCAGCTGGCCAGGCTGGAGGGGCTGCGAGGAGGGAGGGTGCGGGCAGGAGGGGCTGGGGACGAGCGCCATGTTCTCCCAGGACTTTTTCCTGGCCATCATCCTGCAGGACAGCAGCCCAGGTGAGGGAGGGCCGGGGGCTGGGCATGACGTGGGCTGGGGCTGGCAGGGCGGGCAGAGGCGGAGGAAGCATGAGCAGGGCTGCAGGGCTGGAGTGTTGGTGACGGCGGGGATCGGGGGGGAAAGCGGGAGGGAGAATGTACCGGTATGTCACAGGTGCGTGGTGTGTGCACAGAATGTTAGCCTGCATCCGTAAGGGTCCGGGTGCGAGGTCTGCCGTGTCTGCATCCACATGGCCGAGGTTGACCTATGCCGTATGTCCGAGTGTGCGTTCAGAATGTGGTGCCTGTACATGTGTCGGAGGTCACTGTGGGTGCGGTCTCTGTACTTATGCATGGCCGGGTTGGTGTGTACAGACATAGATACCTACCTAGGTGTGTGCACACCTCTCCTCTGTACAGGGTGTCTGCATTAGTGTATGCCTGGAGTTGGTTGTGTGTGTTTGCCCATTTGCTGTGTGTGTACACACCCTTGTGTCGGTGGGGGCTGCACAGGTGTGGAGTAGGGCTTGTGTGTCTGTGTGCACATGTGTGTGCAGGAGCTGGTAAGCGTGTGCCACCTGAGATATGAAGCTGTGTGACAGGAGCGCCCCTAAGCTCCCTCCTTTCTCTCTGCTCCCCTCCTTGCCCCAGTATGGCTGCATTAGCCGGGAGCAGGGCCCGGGAGGAGACCTGAGCCATGTTCCCTGCTGGGGTCCCCCCTGTGGCGACTCCAGACTGCAGGCTCTAGGAGGAAGCAGGAACCATGCTGTACTGCGGCCCTCCCCCCACTCCTTTTGCCCACCATGGGGGCTTAGGGAGGGGACTGGACATGAGCACCCGCTGCCTGCCTGTTGGGTGGGCAGACTCTCACCAAGCCCCCGCCTCGCAGATTCCTTCTGGAACCCCAACGCCTTCGAGACGGATTCCGACCTGCCGGCTGGATGGATGAGAGTTCAGGACACCTCAGGGACCTACTACTGGCACATCCCGACGGGGACCACGCAGTGGGAGCCCCCGGGCGGGGCCTCCCCCTCCCAGGGGAGCAGCCCCCGAGAGGAGTCCCAGGTGAGGCTTACGGGCCTGCTGTATTTCGGGGTGCAGGGGTGGTGGTGCTGCGGAGCCCACTCACTGCTGCCGCCCCCTCCTAGCTCACCTGGACAGGCTTTGCCCACGGAGAAGGCTTTGAGGATGGAGAGTTTTGGAAGGTGAGTGGGGGGACCTGTCTCATCAAGGGGGAGCTGCAGGAGGGGCGCGATTTGGGTCCTGATCCCTCTCTCCCCTCCCTAAGGACGAACCCAGTGAGGAGGCCCCCATGGATCTGGGATTGAAGGACCCCGAGGAGGGGACGCTGTCCTTCCCGGCTCAGAGCCTTAGGTGAGTGGGAAGGCACGAAGCCGTGGGAGGGGTGCATTGGGAAGGCGCCTTGGGACAGCTCCATGTCTGGGGCCTGTACCAAGTGTTCCCCATCTGCCTCCAGCCCGGAGCCATTGCCCCCAGAGGAGGAGAAGCTGCCCCAAAGGAATGCCAACCCAGGGACCAAGGTTTGTCCAAGACCCATGCCCGTTCCCCAGGCTGAGCCCTTCTGGGTGCAGGAGAGCTCCTGGTGCCATGTTTCGGGGGGCACCTCTGGTCTCAGCACAGCCCCCCACGTCCTGAGTTAGGAGCTCTTCCCGTGACCACACAGACCCCCGGGTCTGAGCTGCAGGAGCTCCCGTTGTCACTGGGCCTGGGGGTCCGGCAGGGGCCCTGGCGGCTTGTACTCGCGGGGTCTCTTCTGAGCCCGCCACCCCTCCCACCAGCCGTCTTATTTTGGGAGCTTCTGAGTCTCAGCTTCGAACAACCCACTGCCACGTTCTGAGTCTCAGCAGAAGCCCCGTGTCCTGTGTCGGGGCGGAGACCCCCACCCCACCCCTCCTCTGTGTTTGGCAGTGCTTCGCCGTGCGCTCCCTCGGCTGGGTGGAGATGACCGAGGAGGAGCTGGCCCCCGGACGCAGCAGCGTGGCCGTCAACAATTGCATCCGGCAGCTCTGCTACCACAAAAACAACCTGCACGACCCCATGGCTGGGGGCTGGGGGGAGGTGAGGGCCTGGCTGGCGGGTGAGGGGGGGGTGCTGTGGAAAAGGGAAGGGAACTGTGAGAGATGGGAGAGCAGAGCTGCCCAGGTGGGGGATAGGGTGTGTGTGTGTGTGTGTGTGTGTGTGTGTGTGTGTGTGTGTACCTCTCCCACCTTGGGGCCTTGGGAGATGGTTGTGTAGCCTGGGGTGGGGTTTAGGGGGAGGATGATAAAAGGAGCAAGTGACGGTGGGCGAGACCTCTTCTCTAGCGTGGCCCACAGGGTGGGTGGTCTGACACCCAAGTAAGGGTCCCGGAGCCACAGCTGACCTCCTCTGAGCTGGAGGTGGCCGCGGGGGCCCCAGGAAGTGCCTGTGTCCTGGGCCTGCAGGGAAAGGACCTGCTGCTGCAGCTGGAGGAGGAGACGCTGAAGCTGGTGGAGCCGCAGAGCCAGGCCCTGCTGCACGCCCAGCCCATCGTCAGCATTCGCGTGTGGGGCGTCGGGCGGGACAGCGGAAGGTGGGCGCAGGGCCTGGGGTCTCGGGGTGGGGGCTGGCCAGCAGCTAGCGCGGGCTCTCCTCCCTAACTCTGTTCTTTGCCTCTCTTGTGCTGCCGGACCCAGAGAGAGGTACTATGCCCGTTTGCCTCCTCCCTCCTCCCACTCCCAGACTGATGCCTCGATGCCTCGAAGTACCCAAGTGCCCTTGTTCTGCCCTGCCCCTTCCCACCTGCTGTGCTCGCCTGTGCTCCCTCACCTCGGCATGCTTGCCTGCCTGCCTCCCCTCCAGCCAGAAGGCAGTACCCACAGGACGCCATCTGAGGGCAGAAGCCCCGGAGGAGGGTGTGGGTGTGGTGGGGACGGGCTCAGCGGCATTGGATGGCACCGGGAGACACTGAGGCGCCCCTCCCCCAACAGGGACTTTGCCTACGTGGCTCGGGATAAGCTGACCCAGATGCTCAAGTGCCACGTGTTTCGCTGTGAGGCACCCGCCAAGAACATCGCCACCAGCCTGCATGAGATCTGCTCTAAGGCACGACCTGTCTGCTCCCTGGATTAGCTGCCACCTTCGCTCTACAAGAGTGGGGGTGGGGGGTGGGGGGTGCGTTAGGGCTAGGAAGCCCTAATGCACCCTCCTTCGCTCCTCCCTTCCTCTCCTCCCTCCCTCAGATCATGGCGGAACGGCGCAATGCCCGCTGCTTGGTCAACGGGCTCTCTCTGGACCACTCTAAGCTTGTGGATGTCCCCTTCCAAGGTCAGTGGCACAACCCCTCCAGCTCCAGCATCAGCCACTGGACAGACACGATAGAAACAAATGGCTGCTAAATTCTTTGGGTCACATGAGTGGAGGGACTTTGGTTAAAGGGAGGAAGTGGGAGAGGGTGGAGGTAGGGCCTTGACTGGAATGTCCAGCTCATGCCTGCAGGGTGGGAACTGGGAGTGAGTGAGCAAGATCTGCCACCACGGCTCAGCTTCCTCTTCTTCCCGGCAGTGGAATTCCCAGCTCCGAAGAACGAGCTGGTACAGAAGTTCCAAGTCTACTACCTGGGGAACGTGCCTGTTGCGAAGCCTGTTGGTACGTATGGTCTCCTGCACCCAGGGACCCCCACCCACCGTGACCCCAAAGCTCTGGCCTACCCTCTGCCTGCCAACGCCTCTTTCCCCAGACCTTTCTCATGCACGATGTCACCCTGTCCTTCCAAATGCGTCCCACCTGCGGTGCCTCGGTCCTTGCTGCACCGTCACCGCAGTGGGCATGCCTTCACAGAGTGAACCAGTGAGCCAGGCACACAGGGAGGGAGACCCACTCTTGAATCCTACAGCAAAGCTCTGATTGGGTTGGGAGGGAGGACTTCGATGATTAGAGACACCAGGCAGCAGTTGGGGGCTGGCTTTGGTGTTACAGCACCAGCGATGGGCCTCTGCAGAGCCAGGGAGCATGTTTGTCACAAGCTTCATTGTTTGTAAATTACTTCCTTAGATGTCATTTAATGCTTGATTATTTTATGATAATCTCCATTTTATAGATAAGGAAATACCTAGGAAGCCTACTCCCCTATGCCAGATCCTGGGGAAACAATGGCCATAGTCCTGCTTTCATGAAGGTTACAGTAGGAAAAAAAATAGGAACTGGCAAAACGATCACGCAAATAAATATGTAATTACAAGTTGAGTCATTCGTTGAAAGGAAAGTAGCAAGGTGCTGCTATGAAACTGCGTAATGGGGAAAGGGATCATTTAGTCCAGGGAGTCAGAAAGGACTTATTTGGGGAAGTGACATTTGAACTGAGATCCGAAAACGAAGAGGAGCTGATGTTGAGTGGGGTGGAGGTGGGAGTGAGGTCGGGGAAGATCCTTCCAGTCATTTGAGTACCCAGAGCAGAAGGCACCTTGGTACAGTGGTCCCGGATGAGGCTGGGAGCTGGGCAGTGGACAGACTGTGTGTGCAACCTCACAGGCCATGCTAGCGAGTTGTTCTTCATACTCAGAGCAGCAAAGAGCTCTGGAGGGGTTTTCAGCAGAGCTGTTGACAGGATCAGATTTGGATTTTGTAAAGCTCACTTTGTTATTCCGTACGTGGGGCGTGTGCAGTGGCGGAGGTGGACATAGAGAACGCAGGAGACCTTGCAGTAGTGGCTGGCAGTAGGGGGAATGACTTGGACTCTGAAGGAACTGAGAAAGGGTGTGTTGACTCAGAGATATTTAGACAGATGACAAATCAGAGAGGGAGAGGTTTAGACAACTGAAATCAGTAGGCCTTGGTGATTAATGTGAGGCGCGGGGCAGAGGCGTTGAGCGCGACTCCTGGCTTCCTGGTGTTTGTAGAGTGGCGTCCTCCAACACTTAATGGATAGCAGAGGAGGGTGAAACTGTCAAGGATAGCAAGAGCGGGAGAGAGGTCACAGGGGAAAAAAAACCTGCTTCACGGAGTGGTTGGGTGTCACGTCGAAAGAACTCAACAAAGCTTGGTGAATAGGTAAACCGACAGACGAATGTATGAATGAACGAGACTTGCTTCAGATGACATAGCCAGGAGATGGTGGTCCTAGGACTCAATCTGGTCACCTTCAGTTCTTTCCTCTTCCCCTCCAACCATGCTGACTGTAATGACCGGCACCTCACATTTAGTGAAGGCACCCTTCTTAGGAAGGATGGGGATGGAGCTGGAGTTGCAGAGGAGTGGCTGTTCTGGTTGGATCTGTGCAGACGTGGATTTGGAGGTGGAAAAGGACGCTGAGGAAGCAGAAAGGAGACGCTTGACTCCTACACGTTCCCTCTCATTTCCTCTCCCTCCTACCCTCAGTTTCTAAGTCCTTGTTGCCTCTTCCAGTTATTACCCCCACTCCCATATCCACTGTACACAGGTTCTCACCGCACTGAACCATCTGTCTGCAACCCTGGATGGCCCCTCTGTTGTCCATTAGCTCAGCGTGTCTGCTCTGGTGAAGCCAGGTCGTTCACACCACTGCTCTCGAAGCTCACTTCTTGCTTTAGTGTCTGCTCCCTTTTTGAACTCTGGGAATTTATTTATTTATTTAAAACACATTTTTAATTTATTTTAGAGAGGAAAGGAGAGAAATAGAAACATAAGTGGTGAGAGAGAATCATTGGCCGGCTGCCTCCTGCATGTCCCCTACTGGGGATTGAGCGCACAACCCAGGCATGTGCCCTGACCGGGAATCGAACTGTGACCTCCTGCTTCATAGGTCAACACTCAACCACTGAGCAACACCTGCTAGGCTGAACCTCTGGGAGTTTAACATTGGCTCCTGCTGAAGCTGCAATAGTCATTCACTCAACAAATGACTACAGACTGCCTGGTTTGTGCCAGACACTATTGTGGGTTCTTGGTATACATTAATGAGCAAAACTGACAGAGATTTTTGCCTTCAGGTAGCTGACACTCTAGCTAGGAGAGACAGACAATAAAATAAGTAAGTTATGGAGTATGTTGGAAGGCAACACCTCATAGTAAAAGACTGCACATCAGGAAAGGGGGGTGGGAGTGTGAGGCTAGCAGTTAGGGTGTAGGTTTCAGCTCTGAGCTATTACCAACTCAGGCTTTTTCCAGGCCCATCTTCCACTGCTTTCCCCTTCCCTCCACGATGGTCCTCCCCACACTCTGAGGCCAGGACCACTATCACAGCCCCATCTGCTTCCCCCCACCAGAGGATATGCTTTTTATTAATTTTAGAGAGAGGAAGGGAAAGAGAGATAAAAAAAACAACACAAAACACAAAACCAACACACCAATTGGTTGCTCCCTCCCCTACTCCCCAAAACGTACCCAGACCAGGAATTGAACCTACAACCTAGGTATGGGTCCCAACAGGGAATCAAAACTGTAACCTTTTGGTGTATGGGACAGTGTTCTAACCAACCGAGACACACCACTGGCCAGGGCCTCATCTGTTTCTTAAGCAGCTTGATTTCAGTGTCGTATCCACAACGCATGATCTCTGAGACTCTCTCTGTCATACACATCACAGCTGAATGTCATACACATCGCAGCTCTCCGCAGTCTGACCTGGCCCACACACTCCTGCTCGCATTGACGCCCTTCTGTGGGTGACTTGGTCATACCAGTTTGGGTGCATTGGCCCATGTTGCCTTGAGGGTGACTTGCTCACGCGTCTGGAAATCCTTCAGCAGATAAGCCCTGTGCTAGGATTGGCAACACAGAGATGAATGGAACTGGGTTTCTGTCCCTGAGGTGCCAGCCCAGTGTAGGGGAGGTTTTAAGCAGTCTTAGATGTTTTGCTCAGAGTTGACCCAGCCACACCCTCTCTCTGCCTGCAGCGGGGAAGGCTTCCTGGGTGGCGTGTGGGTGAACCTGAAGGATGAGAATCGGGAGTTCCTCGGGCAGTCAGGGGGGGAGGTGCGCTCCTGACCGAGGCCTGGCCCTCCATAACATTCCGTGTCCCTCGAGGGTATCCTCTTTCATTTTCTATTTCCCACCTGCCTCGCAGGGCATTTGCCCAGGTGAGATGTTAATAAATGTTCCATAAGTCATCTGAAGCTCAGGGAACAAACAGGAGGCTTGAGAGCTCAGAGGAGGCCAGGTTTTAGAGGCCTCGCGTGCGTGGGAGCTGGGCCTTGATCCAGCCGGAGGTAAGATGAGCGAGGCCAACGTGAGGAAGGACTGTGGAGGAAGACATTTGTCCTCTGCCCTACGAGGGTCCGTGTGGTGTTTCTGGTGGGAGCCCAGAGGGCCCCGAGGGACCACAGAGGCGTGTGCTTTTGCTTGGGATGCTTTTGTTTTTAAAAAATATATATTTTATTGATTTTTTACAGAGAGGAAGGGAGAGGGAGAGAGAGCGAGAAACATCGATGAGAGAGAAACATCGACCAGCTGCCTCCTGCACAGCCCCCACCGGGGATGTGCCCACAACCAAGGTACATGCCCTTGACCAGAATGGAACCCGGGACCTTCCAGTCCACAGGCCGATGCTCTATCCACTGAGCCAAACCGGTTCCGGCCATTGGATGCTTTTGCGATGGCACTATTCGCCACTGCAGGGCTGAAGACACGGTCACACAGCCAGTCCCGAGCGGAGCAGGGACTGGAACCCACGCCTCCACCACGCCACGCGCTGCTGCCTGGGTTCTCGCCGAGTCCCCCTCAGAAGTGGAAGAAACCGTTGTGTCTTCCTGATTGATGTAGTAAAGCTGATTGATGTAGTAAAAGCCAGGGACCTTGGGTTCCTTGGCCTTTGGGCAGATTATAGAAATTACTGAGCACGACTAAGGCTTTGACACCCCATCCCTCCATGTGACCTAAGGTTGATTTCCTGATTTCTGTGAGCTTCCTTATCTGTAAAAGGATCTGTAGTGAGACTGTGAAAGGCACTCAGTGGTTTAACACGATAGTGTGACACAAGAGTAAACATTTCCTTAAACGGGCACCTTCGGGCAAAACAAAGGTTGGGTCTTGGGCGAGGGCTGGCCTGCGGGTGTTGTGTGAAGCACGAGGTCTGAACGTGGTGAGTCAGATAACGGCAAGGTCAGAGCTCCAGGGGCCCATGGGGTTAGGAGTCTGGGTTCTCCTCTGAGTGCCAGCAGGAGAGGGAGAACAGTGAAGAACGCTAAGCCTAGGATTTAGGATGGAGACACCAGACCAGAGGCAAGTCCCTGAAGCCCAGGAGGAGAGCACCGAGGCGGGTGCTCCCTGGGGTTATAGGCTGGTGAAGTGGGGATGGAGCCAAGGCCCTGGGTTTGACTGGGCGGAGCTGGAAAGTCTAGGGCAGATCCGGGGGTCCTCTCCCCACCTCCAGAGGTGCCATGTGTGTGTCTGTACCTTCTAGGGGTAGATGTAATAAACGGGGCCCTGGAGTCCGTCCTGTCCTCCAGCAGCCGGGAGCAGTGGACCCCAAGTCACGTCAGCGTGGCCCCTGCCACCCTCACCATCTTGCATCAGCAGGTAAAGACAAGAACTGCCAATGAGATGCATGTGCCCCTCTGGCTGGTCCTTGCTAACCGGGGCCCCTCCCCGCAGACGGAGGCAGTGCTGGGAGAGTGCCGGGTGCGCTTCCTCTCCTTCCTGGCGGTGGGCAGAGATGTCCACACGTTCGCTTTCATCATGGCTGCCGGCCCAGCCTCCTTCTGCTGCCACATGTTCTGGTGCGAGCCCAATGCGGCCAGCCTCTCTGAAGCGGTGCAGGCCGCGTGCATGGTAAGTGGGTAGGATGGTGGGGTGGTGACCCCCCCACCCTGGCAGGGCAGGCTGGAGAATAACCGCTCCCTTCCCCGTGTCTCTGCAGCTCCGCTACCAGAAGTGTCTGGATGCCCGCTCCCAGGCCTCCACCTCCTGCCTCCCCGCGCCCCCGGCCGAGTCCGTCGCCCGGCGTGTAGGGTGGACTGTCCGCAGGGGCGTCCAGTCGCTGTGGGGCTCCCTCAAGCCCAAACGCCTAGGGGCCCACACCCCCTGAAGCCCTCAGTTCTCCCTCCACCTGCTTGCATTCGGCCCCAGGGAACTCAAGGGGACGGGGCTGGGAGGGGCCCTGGAGGCTATTCTTAGGCCTCAGCCCCACGCCCCTCCCAAACGGCCCCTTCTCTGTAGCTGGATTCCCAGCCTAGGGGCTGGGGAGGGAGACCTCTGATCCCTTCACGGAAGTGACAACACTGGGTTGATAAGAGGAACAGGAAGCAGCAAAGCCAGCCCCGTCTTCTCCATCCCCACATTTCAGGTGGAGCGGGAGGAATGCCAAGACGGGCCCCACCTTTGTGGGGTCCCGCGGGGGCTGAAGTAGGGGGCCAGTCCAGACACGGCCCCCCTCCCCCCTGCTCCATGGCACCTCTGCTGTACTGATATCACTAATAAAGTCTGTCTACCCTGCTGAGCTGTGTCACTTCCTGCGCCCGCACCACCTCATTACCCCGTTACCCTGACCCCGCAGTTAGGATCTTGTTCCCAAGGCCCTCCAGCCCTGCCTGCCTTGAAAGAAGAAACGGGGTTAGTCACAGAGGGAGAGGACCTGGAGTCCACGTCTCTTAGCTTTATTAACCGCCTGGCAGCCAGACAGCAGCAGCAGCAGTGTTCCTGGCTGGCCAGCGCGGGCCTGGGGCGACAGCCCCTGTCTGGTCTGCCCGGGGCGCTGCCCACGGAGGCCTCTGCTCTTAGTCTGTGAAAGGACAGCAGCCCCAGGCAGCTTCCGACAGGTGGAGCTGCCAATCCCCGTCCAGGCAAGGAGCTGAACTTGGGGCCCAGCAACGGCTCTTCACCGACGTTTCTCACCTCGGCGGCCTTCCGGGGCTCCTGCTCCCTTCCCAAGACCCGCCCTTTCCCAACGGAGACGATGCCAGCCAGAGTGGGCGCTAGCAGAGCGGCCTTCGCTGATGGCTCCGGACATCGGAGATGCTCGCCTCGGGCACCAGGTGGCGGCACAGGGCAGGGCTGTCGGAGCGGGCGGAGAGCTGGGCGCACAGGGTGGCGAGGCGGCAGGGCGTGCCACAGGGCTCGGAGGGCGGGTGGCCCTTATGGTAGAGGAACCAGAAGGTCTGGAATAGCTGCGGGTCGCCCCGCATGCGGTACACCAGGTCGTTCCAGGCGGCGGGCAGCGCGTTGGGCAGCCCGTAGGTCTCGAGAGCCCGGTAGAGGAGATGCCAGTGCGGCGTGGCCCCCGGCTCGTTGGCTTGAGTCAGGTTCAGGATGTAGGTCTCGTGATCCAGGACCACGTGAGAGCTCCCGGGGTAGTTGCCGTCTATTAGGTAGACCCGGTAACCTGCGAGGAGGGAGGCGCTGGCTGGGAACTCATAGAGCAACAGCAATGGGAGGAAAGAGACCTGTGTCCAGCCTAGGCTCGACCCCGCCGCCCCTTTAACCTCCCAACCCCCTTAGTCCTACAGCCGCTCTCTGCCTCACTCACCGGGATTCAGGCTGATGTAGGTGGTGGCACTGGGCGCCAGGAAGGCTACAGAGAGCGGCCGGCTCAGGGTCTCCTCGTCATAGAAGATTTCAAACTCATCCACGTGGGTGTGGCCGAAGAACTGACCGGCCACGGTGTTCTCGTACCTACGCAGGGACAGCAATCGCATTCAGAAGGTTCTAGGGAGGAGGAGGAATAGGAATCCATCCTATTCAAGTACATGGCCTCCCCATCTGGTTGGGGCAGCAGGGATGTTGAAGAGGCTCAAAGGAATTTCAATCTTCACCCTTTATCCTCCCACCCCCACCTCCCTCCTACCTACCTGGCTACAATCCGGTAATAATTCCAGCTCCAGCTTTTCAGGCAGTGCCCTGGGGGGATGTGGCCGATTATATGCACCTGTGGAGGGAGGGAAGGGTGGTTATCAGGGCTAGGAGGGGTTCAGACAGCCCAGGCCAGCCGAGTTGGTACTCATTTATGCTGACTGGCATTTCTGGCCAGGGAGAGGGTGAGTGAACAAAAGGACTTCTAAGGATGACCTTGCGCAGCACCCTGAGAGGACGTCTCTGCTCACAGGGGCTCCGGCTCCCGACAGGGGTCTACTGAGAAGAGCCTGCTGCTCCCCCTGGTTGGGCACCGACGCCATCGCGCTCCCCACTCTCCCTCACCTTGTCTCCTCGATCCTCTGCGGCCTGAAGCTCCCCCACCAGCCACTGGAGCTGCCCAGCGGGATCTGTGGAGTTGATCAAGAGCCAGAAGTTCTCACGGGAACAAAAATTCATATTGAGAGAGATGAGGCGGAGGCCGGGGCTTGGGGAAAGGGCATAGAACCCCCCAGTTCTGAAAGAAAGGGAACACGAGGGGGTCAGCGCCCATTCATCACCCTGGTCCTGCATGCCCTGACCTGTGCGAGACATTTGAACGGAACTTGGAGGCCTGCAGAACCTCGTGTCTACCCTCAAGAAGCTGAAGACCCAAGAGCATGGTGATGGGGCCCCAGTGACTGAGGAGAGTGGTTCGGAGGGCTGAGGGCTCTCGGGGTTCAGGGTAGAGAGAAAAGTGAGCTGGCATGGGAAGCAGTGGCCGCTTGGGGAAGATGGTGTGGGCCTGGGTAAGCTGGGGGAAGGTAGGATGTAAACAGGAGGAGAAGGCATTCTGGAGAGGGCCAACACGAGCACAGCAGAGACAAGAAGGAGAGGGAACGCTGCCAGCCCAGTGAAGGAGGGTGGCAGGAGATAAGGGTGGGAAGGGAAGGGAAGGAGGGGTCAGATCAGGGAGGCCGGAGAGGCAAGCAGAGGAGGAGTCCCGCTACAGCGGTGAGATAATACCCACTTCACGTCCATCCGCCTTGCTTTCCCACCCCGTTTCCCCGTGGGCCGCAGGTACCTGAGGGTGGGAAGGGCTTCCGCGGGCAGCCAGGGCCCCCACGCCTCGGCCATGGCCTCGTAGAGCCAGCGGGAAGAGTGGTTGCCCTCGATGAAGGGGGGCGGGAAGCCGTTGACGGGCGTGCTCTCGTGGTTGCCCACGGCAGGGTACACGGGCACGGGCCCCAGGTACTTCTTCACGAGGGCCGTCACGGTGGTCAGGGCCTGCAGCTGGTCCTGGCGGGACTGGTGCCAGACGTTGTGGGCGGGGATGTCTCCCGTCCAGTACACCCTGTCGAAAGGGCCGGCGGGGCCCAGCCCGCTCAGCAGGCTCTCCAGCGTCCGCAGGGGCAGGTCGCACTTGCTGTACTCGCCCCAGTGCCCGGCGCCCCGGCGGGAGGGGGGCGGCGGGCCGGAGCCCCGGCGGCAGCACAGTGGGTCTCCGCAGTCGGGGTCCGTGCCCTCCAGATAGTCCCGATCCCAGTGCAGGTCCGTGAGGAAGAGGACTCGGCTGACGGGGGCCCCCGGGGCCGGCGGACCGGGCGGCCGGGGAGCCGGCTTGGGCACGGCGGGCAGAGAGATGTTCCAAGAGGAGAAGATGTCCCAGTGCCCGCAGCTGGGGCCCAGGAGCAGGCCGCAGGCCTCCGACGGGCTCAGCACCGAGCGTCTCCACACCTCCACCATGTCGTCCTCGAAGAGCTGGACGGCCGACTGGCACACGGCCGGGGGGGCGATCTTCAGCAGCTGGCACAGCTTGGTGGCCAGGGAGCCCACCCGGGCCACGTTATTCTCTTTCTGTGGGGGGTGGGGGGTGAGGGGGAAGACCCGGCGGTGAGAGGTCAGGGTCAGGACACGGGGATCCAGGCCGCCCCCCCCCTGGCTACCACCCCTTGGGCCTCCGCATCCAAACGGGGGCTGGACTGGACCGGCGCCACCGTGGCGACGAGACCTCAGCGCGCCCTCTGCCTCCCACAGGTCCTGCCCCGTGACTCAGGCAGCACCAGCCAGCACCCCTCTGCAGTCCCGTGGCCAGAGGCGTTTCAGGCCTTTTGTTTTTGCCCAGTTGGCTTTCTCAGGCGCACACAGCCTGGGCTGGGCACACTGACAGGCTGTCCGGGGTTTGGGGACACACACAGGGGCAGGGCCCGGGCCTGGCTTATCTGGGGAGCCTCACAAAGCTTTACCTAACCGCCAGCACTCATCCTAACCGGACCAGGGTCAGGGCGGCTCCAGCTGGTCCTACACCCCTGGATGTGTCTTCCTGCAAGTCCCCTTGGAGTAGTTAGGACCAGGCACAACAGGATGGGAGTCCCAGTCCCCCCCTGGCCAGTCATCTGCCCTTGGTCAAGTGACTTCACCTCCCCGGAAATCTAATCATTGGTAACACGGAGACAGCAGCAGCCATGAGACCAGCGGGCGGGCGGGCCTGCTTTAACCTGTGTGAAAAGGCTAGCACAGCCGAAACTGGTTTGGCTCAATGGATAGAGGGTCAGCCTGTGGACTCAAGGGCCCCGGGTTCAATTCCGGTCAAGGGCATGTACCTTGGTTGCGGGCACTTCCCCAAAGGGGGCTTTGCAGGAGGCAGCTGATCTATATTCCTTTCTCGTCGATGTTTCTAACTTTCTATCCCTCTCCCTCCCTCTCTGTAAAAAAATCAAAAAAATATTTTAAAAAAAGAAAAAAAAGGCTAGCACAGCGCTAGGCCTATAATTTGCTCTGTTCCCTCACTTCACAAGGTCACCATGGAGGCAGGGCGGTACAGCCCCGGGTGTCCTTAAAGGAGGGCGCCTTCAGTGAAGGGGGCCAGCCTTTCCCCACGGGGGTGCCCTGCGGGACCCCGGGCCCTGTCTCTCCTCCGGCCTGGCCTCCTTCCCCCAGCCCCTCCCGCGCTCACCTGCAGCCCGAAGTCGAGGACGGTGAAGAGGCTTTTGCAGGCCGGGCAGGTGAGGTTCCTCCATCCAAAGGAGCCCCCGTCCTGGGACACCAGGCCGCCGAAACTGGCGAAAAGGCCTTGGACGGGGAGCGGGTGGGCCGCCGCGGGGGTCCGGAGAGCCAGGGCGGGGAGGAGGGCCAGCGCCAGCGCCATCCCCAGGCTCCCCAGGCGGGGGGCCCCGCGGCGTCTGTCCGGCCGCCGCTCCCCGCCGCCCGCCCCGGCGCCGCCCCGGCCGGGAGTGACCCCGGGGCCCGGCATTGCCCGCCGCGCAGGCCGCCTGTCCCGGCGCCGCCGCCGCCGCCGCTCTGGGCCCCCGCCGGGCTCCAGGCCGCAGGGACCGCGCGGGGGCCGCCCGCTCGCCCCGCCGGGCGCTGACAGCTCCGCGGAGAGCCGCGCCGCAGCTCCACCCCTTCCTCTTCCTCCGGCCGCAGCGGCTGGCGGCGGCGGCGGCGCCCGGCCCGGACGGCGCCCGGGAGGCGGAGCGCGGGCCCCGCGCGCCCGGACCCGCCCTTGACCCCGCCCTTGACCCCGCCCCGGATTCCGCTGGGGCCCCGCCTGCGGGGGGTGGCAGGTGAAAGGCCTATAGTACCTTAATAAAAAAAAAAAAAAAGAGAGGAAAATAATAATAAAAATAAAAATTGATTAAAGACCTATAAGGGAAAGAAAATGTAACTATTAGGACAAAATTCAGAAGAATATAGTTTTGAGCTTGGAGCTGAGGTACTTTAAATAAGAAAAAATGTATTAATCACAAATAAAGGAAGATTAATTGACCTTAAAAAAAAAAAAGGCCAATGGAAGGTTCCTAGGGGCCACCTCTCTCCAAATCTACGCTCCGATTCCTGGGCTCACCCGGCTTTATTTATTTATTTGTTTGTTTATTTTATTGATTTTTTACAGAGAGAGGAAGGGAGAGGGATAGAGAGCTAGAAACATTGATGAGAGAGAAACATCCATCAGCTGCCTCCTGCACACACACACACACACACACACACACACACACACACACACACACCACACACACACACACACACACACACACACCACACACACACACACACACACACACACCACTGGGGCAACCAAGGTGCATGCCCTTGACCAAAATCGAACCCAGGACCTCTCAGTCCGCAGGCAGACGCTCTATCCACTGAGTCAAACCGGTTTAGGCCCCATACGGCTTTTAACTCTGAAAGCCAGGCTGGGGCGAGCAGGGTTGGGCTGGGATCCTCCCACTGAGTGTTCCTCCCCTCGCTGTCCCACCTTCTGGTCCTGGCACCATCCCCCTTAGTCACCCTGCCTGCGAGTCTTTGAGTCACGTTTGATTCAGACTTCTGAAGGAAGGGACTCTGGGCTCGGGTGGGGACGCCCATGCTTTAATTTTGTGGGCGAGGAAACTGAAGCCTGCGGATGGTGAATGAGTAAGAAGGGCTGGGAACATGGACTGGAGCTTGGATCTCCCACCTCCTGTAGCCATGATAGTAAAAGCTGTCATGTATTGAGCTCTATACATGTTTCCCACACCGATCCAGACACTGCTGTTAACGAAAAAAAGCCACTGAAACCTGTAAAGAATTTTTGTGAGTTTATTTGACATATGCCAGGAAGCAGAACCTCAACGGACTGAGATAATGCTCTGAGGAATGGCGGGTTACATTTCTATTTATGCATTGCCATCAAAGGAGGAACATAGGTGGGTTACATGAAATTCATTGGTGATGGAGTAAGGAGGCAGGAGAAAGCAAAGTGGTGGGAAACCCCTGGGATTGGATAAAAAGTAAAATGATGGACTGGTACTTAGGCAAGTGCAGGAACAAAGAACATGATAAAGAAGGAATTCGAGGCCTCGGGTCCTGGCGTCCACCACACATGGTTGTGCCCCAGGGGCTCCAGAAAAAGGGAAGTTACAAGTTACCCAGACATCTCACAGATATGTTATCTTAGAGGAAAAAAGGCAAATGGGCTCAGTAAAAAGATCGAAGTTGATCTTTGTTAGGGAAAATATCGGCCTAGAACATTACTATCCACTATAACCTGTTTGTAGTTAAATATTTAATTTCCAAACCATCTTTTGTGGTTATTTTAGGTCTCTGAGTTTGCAAGACAGCCACACAGGCCTCCCCTGAGTTTGTCAGGTTAGCATGTGGCTCTTTTCTTTCACACTGCAATGACTAATCTTCCATTTTACCAACCCTCAGAAGCAGGTATAATAATATCATTCTCGTTCTGACTGGTTTAGCCTATGGACTGAAAGGTCCAAGGTTCAATTCCGGTCAAGGGCATGTACCTTGGTTGCGGGCACATCCGCAGTAAGAGGTGTGCAGGAGGCAGCTGATGGATGTTTCTCTCCCATCGATGTTTTTAACTCTTTATCCCTCTCCCTTCCTCTCTGTTAAAAAAAAAAAAAATCAATAAAATATATTTTAAAAAATAATATAATTCCCTCCACTTTACAGAGGGAAGTTCAGTGGCAGAACAGAGATGAGAACATGAGCTATTTAACTTCTGGAGTACTTCTCCAAGACCCAGAGTCCTGCCGATTCTCCCCTTTGAGAATATCTTCCAAGTGACTCTTCCTCATGTCTATGAGCATTATCTCAGAGTAGCTGTGCGGCAATAAATATATTTGGTCTTGGTCTCCGGTTCCTGGCACGGAGCTCCCCACATCCTTTGAGTTTCCTAAGTGATAGAAGTGTCTTTTGTTATTTATGTTATGTTAATTAGGTAATTTAGGGTGGGGTCCCTAGATTGAGAATGGGGGTGGTCGCTAATCAGTCCCATTCCTTATCCTTCAAAGAAGGGAATAGGGCTGGAGTTTGAGCTCTCTAAAAACTCTTTGGGCTGAAACCGGTTTGGCTCAGTGGTGTGGACTGAAAGGTCCCAGGTTCGATTCCGGTCAAGGGCATGTACATTGGTTATGGGCACATCCCCGGTAGGGGGTGTGCAAGAGGCAGCTGGTTGATGTTTCTCTCTCATCGATGTTTCTAGCTCTCTATCCCTCTCTCCTCCTCTCTGTAAAAAATCAATAAAATATATTTTTAAAAAAACACACCAAAAAAACCAACTCTTTGGACCTGGAGCGCATTATGCTAAGCGAAATAAGCCAGTCAGTGAAAGATAAATACCACATGACCTCACTCATTTATGGAAATTAAAGAACATTATAACCTGATGAACAAAAAGATAGATACAGAGGCAGAGAAGCATGGAACAGACTTAATTATAGTTAGGTATAATTGAACATTGGAACAGTCAAATTATAGTGGGAAGGCTGGGAAGGGAGGAGTGAGGTAAGAGATCAACTGAAGGACTTGTATGCATGCATATAAGCATAACCAATGGGCGCAAGGCACTGGGGGGTGAGGACATGTATGGGAGTGGAGTGGGGGGACAAAGGGGGAGATATGGACACATATAATACCTTAATCAATTAAAAAATTGATTAAAAAATTGGGAAAAAACTGAGCTCTGGCCAGTTTGGCTAAGTAGATAGAGTGTTTTGTCCCTATGGACTGAAGGGTCCCTGGTTCCATTCTGGCCAAGGGCATGTACCTAGATTGCAGGCTCAATCTCCAGCCCTGGTCTGAACACAGGTGGGAGGCAACCAATCGATGTCTCTCACATTCATGTTTCTCTCTATCTCTCTTCTTCCCTTCTACCGTACTCTCTCTAAAAATCAATGGGAAAATATCCTTGGGCGAGGATTAACAAAACAAACAAACGATCTCTTTGAGGGCCTCTGGCTGGTGCAGAGGGTGCTGGGAGAATGGCACATCTGGAGAGAGCACGGAAGTTCCGTGACATCCCCTTTCTATACCTTCCCTAATCCAGTTAGTTATTTGTGCGTAGTACCCTTGATAATAAACTGGTAAACGTAAGTAAGGTGTTTTCTGATTTCTTTCCCAGCAAATTATCAAATCAACATTTCTAGCTGGTTGGTCAGAAGCACAGGTAGTGACCTGAGACTCGCCACTGGCTTTGGAAAAGGGGTCTGGTGGGACTCAGCCCTTTAATTTGTGGGATCACACACTAACTCTAGGTAGATAGTAGCAGAATTAAATTGAATTGTCCTACACCCAGTTGCTTTCAAAGAATTAATTGGTGTCAGAGAAAACTCCCCAGGATTGGCATCGGAAGTAGGATTTGCCAGACTGGTGCTGGCTCATGGTTTAGGAAGAGGAAGGATGCAAGGGGAGAGGATGAGGAACTTGATTCCTGGTGAGACGTGGTAGGGAACAGCAGCTGTGCTGCAATTCCTAAAGAATGAGGAACAGAGTGAAGAAATAAAAGGAAGTCGCTATAGCCAACCTGCCAAATTACTGAAATCAGGTAGGTCGAGGCAGGAGGAAATGATTCTATTTCCTGTTCTAACCAGCCTGGGAACTAAAACGATTGGACTTTGCAGTCCTGTGTGTCAATGCCTGTAAGTACATTGAATTTCCAGGTAACCTTCTGGTTACCCCATGAAGAACTAAGAAAAGAATGTTCATATATCCAGACGGCACCTGTGGATGGGATAAAAAAGGATTCTAGGGAAAGTCACCTCACAGCGTGATCTGATCATAAATTCCTAACTGGAACACCTCATGCTCATTACCTAGAAACATCAAGTTTTGGGGGCTCTGTGCAGGAACAGAGATGAAGACTACATGTACAGGGTGTCTGTCCCAAAACATGCCTATGCACACTGTGAATAGTTACAAAGGCAGTGTTTATTAAAATACATTTCATTTTTAAAAAAAAAAAAATTCCTAACTAGACAAGTTATGGTGCATACCTATGCCCCACGCATATAACTTTTTACTAAAAAGTTTATTTTTGCCTTAAGCAAGCTCAGTCAATTGTTTCTACGCATGTAGGTTAACACACCTTTGAACTGAGTCATAAACCACTCTCAAGAGAGCACATAATTTTGTTAACCACCCTGTAATCCTGCCTTGCTTTCCCCAACCTCCAGGAAATCTCCCTTGGTTCCCCTACTTATTTTCAAATGCTTGGGGAAAGCTGCAAAACTATTATTTCCTGGAGCATTTGAGATCTCGTTCCCTGGCCTGTGTTGGCTCAAATGAACTCATAAAAATTTCTCTACCAGTTTGGGCATTTCTTACATCAACACATATCGATTATCCAGACTACTGGTCAGCTGGAAGATTACCATCTCTGGACCAGAGGCTAAGAATGCAGGACTAAATCTTCTCAAGAATGTTCTTTTTACTATAAGAGCTCCCAGCTTTTTTTTTTTCTCTTTTGGAACACTC